TATTTATTTTTGAGAGAGAGGGAGAGAGAGAGAGAGAGAGGCAGAGCAAGTGGGGGAGGGACAGAGAGAGAGGGACAGCGAGGATCCCAAGCAGGGCCTGCACTGTCAGCACAGAGCCCAACGAGGGGCTCAAACTCACGAACTTCAAGATCATGACCTGAGCCGAAATCAAGAATTGGACTCTTAACCGACTGAGCCATGCAGGGGCATCTCTCTTTTTTAAAAGAGAATTCTATTGACTCAAAAAAAACAGAAAAGCAAGACAAACAATGGCTAGAGATCGAGAAAAATGAGATGAGTTTGGGAAAGTAAAGTTTGTTACTTAAGAGTTAACTGGCTTCAAGTTAACACACTCCTTGCTTGCTGGAGATGAAGGACCTTCATCTGTAACAGAACCAATTTGCTTTCTTTGAGATTTGCTGGCCACTGGCCTTGTGGAATAGAGGACCACAACGTTCGAAGACCACAGAAGCCAGCAAATCTGTTTGAAGTCCCCTTAGCTTTCTGATTAGCTCAGATACCTCTTAGCAACATGTTTTTCATTTTTAAGGTCACACAAATGACTTTACTGACCTCTTTGCACATATGTAGACCTTGTCCTCCTTTGCAGAAAGAACAGACTATTCTTGCACAACCCTTGGGTACCAAGGAACCAGAACTTGTTGCACAACCTCTGAGTAGTACCAAGATAACTGAGGCTGGCATCATGGAGTCTGCAGCGGGCGCCGGCTGGCTCATGATCTTTCGCTCGCGAACGCACGCGCGCGCGCACACACACACACACACACACACAATTCTGGAACAGGCAGAAACCTGGGAGTTCTCCTTTGGACAAGAGTCTGCCTTCTCCCTAGATGGCCAGACTCCTGAATAAAGCTCATATTCCTTTTCAGTCAAAACTTATCTATTGTCTTTTGAGCATTCGCCTTTCAAGTGACCGGCAGCTGAACTTGTGTTTCATTAACAGTATGTTTTATGTGGAAAACCCAGAACATACAAACAACCAAAGAAGATAAAAATCACCTGAATCCCACTATACAAAGGTAATCACGTTAAAAAAAAATTTTTTTTTAATGTTTATTTATTTTTTGAGAGAGAGAGACAGAGAGTAATCAGGGTAGGGGCAGAAAGAGAGGGAGCCACAGATTCTGAAGCAGGCTCCAGGTTCTGAGCTGTCAGCACAGAGCCCAACGCGGAACTCAAATTCACAGACCGTGAGATCATGACCTGAGCTGAAGTGGGACACTCAACCGACTGAGCCACCTAGGCGCCCGCAAAGGTAATCACTGTTAAATATTGTGGTGCACCTTACCTTTGCGGTAAGCTACAAAACTTTCTTTAGTAGCATGTTTTCTTTGAAATAAACAACAGGCCCCAAGGGAGTCACTTTTGCTAAACCCCATCAAGACTCAACATTTAAACATAACTGCACTTCCAGCCTCTCCCAACAGTGGAACTTTAAACCAATCAGTCTGGAATTTCCAGATCTGCACCGCTAAGGTAATCCGTATGATAAGACCCTTTGTCTTCCCCTATGGGAAGGTAACCTCCACTGAAATATCCCATTCTTTTAACTTCTTTGTCCCACCCTCTTTCTGCCTATAAAATGCCTGCCATTTTGTACAACTTGGAGCTCCTTTCTAATTGCTGGATGGGATGCTTCCTAATTCATAAATTTGTTGAATAAAGCCAATTAGATCTGAAAACTTACTCAAATGTTGCTTTTTAACAGTATGTATGCCTATATGGATAGGTAGGTATACACATACACATCACACATACATAAATGTCCCCCCACATGGGATCCTACTGGAATACTTGTTGTGTCTGCTTCTTTTCCCACCCAATGATACATTAAGAACATTATTCCATGTCATTCAATTGTATTTCTGAAGATGGTTATTAATATCTGCTTTTATAGTGAGAACTAAGTAGCATTACAGGAAAAGTGATGAAATTTTTAAAAAGTCAGGCTCCAAAAGATATCTCTCAGTCACAAGGGAAACTAGAAGACAGATAGCAACAACACTCTTTGCGGAAATCACAAAATGTTGAAAAAGCAAAGGATGAGGTCACAGGACACACTGAGAGGAGATGTTTGTACCGGATGTGGAAAATATAAATTTAGAGCTCTCCTCTAGCTGAATTTCTTCCCAAGCTTTGTGAGCCCAGAAGCACAGCCCATCCCCCTAGTTCACTGCAGGATGTATCCCTAGTCTACTGAAAACTATTCCCTTTGAAAAGGTAGTTAAATCTCCCAGTGACAAACTAAACTACCTTCTTCAACACTTCCCCAGGGATCTGATATTTTGGCCTTGCCAGCACACACAACCTGTGTGTCAATTAAGAAGAGGGATCCCGGGGCGCCTGGGTGGCTCAGTCGGTTAAGCGGCCGACTTCAGCTCAGGTCACAATCTTGCGGTCCGTGAGTTCGAGCCCCGCGTCGGGCTCTGGGCTGATGGCTCAGAACCTGGAGCCTGCTTCCGATTCTGTGTCTCCCTCTCTCTCTGCCCCTCCCCCGTTCATGCTCTGTCTCTGTCTCAAAAATAAATAAAACGTTAAAAAAAAAAAAAAAAAAGAGGGGTCCCTTTCCTGCTGTCCCTTCTTCTGTACACTGAAGCCCTAAACTAGACACAGGACTTGGGAGGATATGATACTGCCCCCCTGCCACCCGCCCCAGCTCATACTTTGACCCTTGGTCTAAACTGCAGAGTAGTTCCTTACACAATGGCCTTGTCTGATATGGTCCCTGTAGATTTACTTAAACTTCCATGGAACATATGCAAAAATAATCTTAATCTCCCCATCCCAGCTGTCACTTTGCCCAATTCAAGAACTTCCTGTCTTATCCCACTCCAAGTTCCTCCAAACCAGGCCAAGGGCACACAAGCCATGTTATAGGGCTTTGCTCCATAATAATAAATTATTATTATAGCTACCATTTTTTAAGTGTTTAGTTCTGTACCAGACCCTGTGCTAAATGCCTTATATGCATTATTTTATCTTCACAACTCAATGAAGAAGGAAGTTTAATTATTATTCCCATTTTACAGATAAGATTGCTGAGACCTGAGAGAGTAACTTGACTGGGCTAATAATGCCACAGATACTAATGAGTGACAAGGAATCAATTCTGGTTGGTCTGTTTCCCACAAACATTTCCCATGCATCTCTTGTATGAAAGGCAGTTTGCTAAAAGCAAGAGAAAAAGGCATAAGGAAGACCTTTCCTTGAAATCCCACCATCTTTGAAAGAGTTTACAGTTTAGGAAGTTTAGGAAGGAATATGACAAGCACACGATACACCAATACAAGGCACAAGGTGCTAAGCTCGTGCGAAAGGGTCAAAGTTCTCTTAGAGAGATGGGAGAGCCTTTGGGGAGGAGATGGAATATGAAATGGGCTTTAATAAGGGTTTTCGCAAAAGATGTTTGGAGGACAGCATTTGGGGGAAACAGCGTGAGTAAAGGTATGGAGAACATAGGCAAGGAACAATAAATAGTTTAACTTACAGAAGTAGAGCTTGGGAGAGTTGTGGCTGATAAAGCTGTAGCATTACATGACTTCGGTACCTAGCTAAGGAACTTGGATTGGTGGATGGAATACCAGATGGGTTTTGAGTGGGGTGATGGCAAGTCTGGGTATACAAACCTGAGAAAATTAATGTTGTAGCTACCTGTGTTATAAATTAGCACAGGGAGAGATCAAAGATAGAGATCAGTTGGGAGGCTACTTGTAATAGACCAGGAATTCTTGGTCTCAGTACTATTGACTTTTGGGTCAGATAATTATCTGGGTGTGTGTGTGTGGGGGGGGTGTTCTTTGCACTGTAGATGTTTAGCAGCATCTCTGGCCTCTATTCACTATATATTATAACATTCCACCCCACCCCCAATTGAGGCAAAATCGCCCCCATTGTGGGCCACTGTAATAGACCATATTACAGGCAGAAATTTTAAAAGGTGGATGTGACACATGGGCAAGGGTAAAACCTAAAAGCTTTGGTAAGTGTTTGGAGTCCAGAGGACTGGGGATCAAATAGAACCAGTGAAAAGGCCCTATAGGCCATGTAGTCTAACATACTCCTAATTGCTTGCAACACTAAACTCTTTAGAAGGGCAATTTGGTAAACCCTTTTGAAGGTAGTTTGGTAAAACCTTCTAACAATAACAAAAACTATCTTGCCTTTTGGCCCAGCAATTCAGTTCCTGGAAATTTATCTTAAATGATTCAAATGAAGACACAGAATCTTTGTGTACAAAGCAATAATACTTACATGGAATAGTGACCATGCCGTTCTCAACAATTGCACCCTCATACCTACATACATTGAACAGTGCCTGCTAAATGAGAGGCTCAGATTTAAGAAGTCAATTTAAGATTCAGATGTGTGATCCAAAACTCTGGAGAAGTCGTAGCTAATGAAACAAAATCCCAGATGGGGTGAAAAAGGCAGATATCAAGAATCCAAGTATAAAAGCTCATAACTTTCTTTTTTAACTTCTTTCTCATATCATAGAGAGAGAAATGACTGGAATTTTGTCTATCCGTGCTTTTTTTTTTTTTTTTTTTTTTCTAATGTGAGGTTGTGTCAAGGAGGGATTTGAACTTACAACCCCGAGATCAAGTCATATGCTCTACCAAATGAGTCAGCCAGGCTCCCCCCACCCTCCACAGTTACTGAGATTGTGTATTGGCCAAAGGAGGAGGGAAGTTATGGCGTCAATCAATGACGTCATCTGCTCAGAAAGACCCGGTGCGCCCCCCATCCCCACTCCGGTTTGAACTCTGCCTGAGGAATCTCGCTCTTTGCCCGAGGACATTCCTTTAAAATAAGAATTTCGAGACTTCCCGTGCAAAGTTGCTGGGAAACACGCTGTTCAGGAATGAGGACGTCCTGGGGCACACTCCAATGTACAGAGATTAAAGAGTTCCCGGCAACTTGGTTTTTAAATTGCCCTGCAAACATGAAATCCTAGCTGATCTGGCAGCTACTCCGCTATGGTGGCGAGAGACAGCCTACCAGCCGGGCGAGAGGGAGGCGCCGGGCGGAAGAATGGCAGGCGTGGCCAACCCGGAGGCGGCTGGAGGCCGCGCCCCCTTCCCAGAGTGCCCCGCAGCCGCTCCCCGCGAGATCTCTTTTCTAGCCCGCCCTGGCCCGGCTCAGAAGGCGCTCCCACCATGGATGGGCTTCGGGCTAGCGCAGGGCTGTTGAGGCGCGGGCGGTTGAGACGCCGGCGCCAGCCGCAGCCACACAGCGGGTCGGTCCTGGCCCTGCCCTTAAGGCCCAGAAAGATCCGAAGGCAGCTGAGGAGAAGCGTGGCGTCCCGCATGGCCGCGCTGAGGGCCCAGACACTGCCGAGCGAGGACTCGGAGGACTCGAGGGTGGAGTCGACGGTCGACGATCCTGGAGACCCGCTGGCTGGTGGGGCAGCGACCATCCCGGATGCGGCCCGGCGAGAGCCGTACGGTCACCTGGGGCCTGCAGAGCTGCTGGAGGCCTCGCCCGCGTCCCGCTCCCTGCAGACCCCCCGCGCGCTGGTGGAGGCGCAGACCCCGCCGGCCCGCCTGGTGGAGGCTCAGACCCCGCCGGCCCGCCTGGTGGAGGCGCCCGCCCTGCCCGCGCGCCTAGTGCCGGCTCCCGCGCCTCCCGCGCGCCTGGTGGAGGTGCCCGCTGCGCCGGCGCGCGTGGTGGAGACCTCGGCGCTGCTGTGCCCTGCCCAGCACTTGGCGGCCGCCCCGCCATCCGTGGCCCCCGCAACGCTGTCGGGGCCGCAGGTGGATAGCACCGGCGGGGAGTTGGCCTGGGACTCGCCGCTGCAGCGCGTCCTGGCGGAGCTGAACCGCATCCCCAGCAGCCGGCGGCGGGCCGCGCGCCTCTTTGAGTGGCTCATCTCGCCCATGCCGCCAGACCATTTCTACCGGCGCCTGTGGGAGCGGGAGGCGGTGCTGGTGCGGCGGCAGGACCACGCCTACTATCAGGGGCTTTTCTCCACCGCAGACTTGGACTCCATGCTGCGCCACGAGGAGGTGCAGTTCGGGCAGCACCTGGATGCTGCTCGGTACGTCAACGGGCGGCGCGAGACCCTGAACCCCCCCGGCCGCGCGCTGCCTGCCGCCGCCTGGGCCCTGTACCAGGCTGGCTGCTCCCTGCGCCTCCTCTGTCCGCAGGCTTTCTCGACCACAGTGTGGCAGTTTTTGGCCGTGCTCCAAGAGCAGTTTGGCAGCATGGCAGGCTCCAACGTTTACCTCACGCCCCCCAATTCGCAGGGTTTTGCCCCCCACTACGACGACATCGAGGCTTTTGTGCTGCAGCTGGAAGGTAGGAAACTCTGGCGTGTGTACCGACCCCGGGTCCCGACCGAGGAGCTGGCCCTGACATCCAGTCCCAACTTCAGCCAGGACGACCTCGGTGAGCCGGTGCTGCAGACTGTGCTGGAACCTGGAGATTTGCTCTACTTTCCTCGGGGCTTCATTCACCAAGCCGAATGCCAGGATGGAGTGCACTCTCTGCACCTCACCTTGTCCACGTACCAGCGCAATACCTGGGGCGACTTCCTGGAGGCCGTCCTGCCCCTGGCAGTGCAGGCTGCCATGGAAGAAAATGTGGAGTTCCGAAGGGGTCTTCCCCGAGATTTCATGGATTACATGGGGGCCCAGCACTCAGATTCCAAGGATCCACGAAGAACCGCTTTTATGGAGAAGGTGCGAGTCTTGGTTGCCCGCTTGGGACACTTTGCCCCTGTCGATGCTGTGGCTGACCAGCGAGCCAAAGACTTCATCCACGACTCTCTGCCCCCTGTGCTGACTGATAGAGAGAGGGCACTAAGTGTTTATGGGCTCCCAATTCGCTGGGAGGCTGGAGAACCTGTTAACGTGGGGGCCCAGTTGACAACAGAAACAGAAGTGCACATGCTTCAGGATGGGATAGCTCGGCTGGTGGGTGAGGGAGGCCATTTGTTTCTCTATTATACAGTGGAGAACTCCCGTGTTTATCATCTGGAAGAGCCTAAGTGCTTGGAGATATACCCACAGCAAGCTGATGCCATGGAACTTTTGCTCCGCTCCTACCCAGAGTTTGTGAGAGTAGGGGACCTGCCCTGTGACACGGTGGAGGACCAGCTTTCCTTAGCGACCATGTTATATGACAAGGGGCTGCTGCTCACCAAGATGCCTCTAACCTGAACTAGTTTCTTCTTGATTGTTGGAAGCAAGACAGTGGTGATTCTCTCTTAGCCACCATTACCATCTTTTTGGCAGGGGGGTGGGGTAGGAGGGACTCATGTTCTTACCTTGATAACCATTTACCTTTATGACTGCTCACATTTACCTTTATGACTGCTTTAATGTCACAAATTTCAGATGGTTTTCCAGGAATCACCACTTCATCTAGGCACAAAAGTAAAAGCAGAAGTTGGAGGTGGAAAAAAGGAGCAATTTTTGCAGAAGTAACTTTGATCCCTGATCATTTCAGAGCACCAGCTTCATCACCCTCAGGCTTCAGCGTACTGTGTAGCACTTGCTGTGTCATTCTGCTTGAGACATTAGAAGTTTTTATTTGGAATTTGCATCCTTCATTTGAGTTCTCTTCAGTTTGGGGGGAGGGTTGGGGTCAGTATCTTGTTTGCTACTGTGAGTTTGTATGAATGTTAGAAAAGTTATTAAAGTGCCAAAGAATGTTTCTCTTTTTAAAAGCTAGATTATTATGAAGGAATTGGGTTGGGGGGTGGGAGATAGGAAAAATCTATAATGACTGATGTGAAAGGTAACTTGGGGTGGTTGTAGGATTGAGGCCAATTCTATAACTTTGGGGGTAATTTATTCATTTTAATCATGCTACTTGAACCCCAAACAGCACAATCCTATTGGAAAAGTTAAGAGTGCATTATGTTTTTGCTCCGTGCTTGCTTGCATCAGTGGCTGGCATTGCTCCCCAAGGGACAGCATATCACCTAGTTGTGCTATCATAGGCCTCAGTCAACCAACTTATAGCAAGCTGGCCATGAAGGGAGGCTGGTGTTCAAGTTACTTTCCACTCTCATTTTTTTCTGGCAGTTGGAAGAATCTTCCCCAAACCTGGAAAGTGAATATTTTCATGGTTGGTGGAAAAGAGCCTGGTGTACCAGAGAGAGCACTGGACTTGGAACCAGAAGACCTGGGTTTGGGGTGGTGGCTGGTAGGCAGCTGGCTGAATGATCTGAGGCTGCCGCTACACCTGGGCACACAGATTTTGTAAGTATATTTTGGTACAGCTTGATGTCTGCACTTCATTTAGCTTGTGTCTGGAACTTTCAGAGCCTATCACCATATCTGATAGGTGCAGTTCTATATAAGGTTGAGAACTTTCTGAGGTCTTTTTTTTTAAGTTGGGAAAGCATGGATGTACATAAAATAAAAATGATAGCTCTCTCTCCAGTTCTACTTTCCAGAGGTAACTACTATTAAAAGTTAAACTCACAAGGCTTTGTTTGGATGCTTAATCAAACATACGGTAGTTTGTTTGTTTTTTGGTTTGTTTTATACCCTTGTTTTTCTAATCTGTCAGTTTTGGACCTAACTTTTCAAATCAGTTCAGTTAGAACTACCTCTTTTTTTTTTTTTTTTTTAAAGTGACAAAATAGCAAATAAAACCCAGGGGACAGACAGAAAAAAAAAAATAAAAGGACTAAAAGGATGGCAGCTAAGAAGGAAAGGTAGTAACCTTTCCTGACTCATCCTACCAGGCTCAAAACTAAACTCCCCAAACACCAGATCCCAGAAAAGGCTGGTTAAAGGAGTCACGTGATAGTACTCACCCCTAGGGAACCTACCCTGAAAAGTTTGTTGTAGAAAAGTATGGAGTTTCAATGGTTTATGCCCTTCCTTGGGCTGCCAGTAGACACGTTTTGCTTCCTCCTTCATTTTTCCTATGGCCCTCTCCATCCTGAATATTTTCTGTGTCAGCAAGTCCTTTTGGCTTAGTGTTTGAATCTAGATCAGAAGAAATGATGTTGAAAAAAACAATTGTATTAGGCTGCAAATCATCAAAAAGCGTTAATAAAGTAATGTATTGTGCCTGTTGGTGTTAGGTGGTGGTACAGTGCCTCAGAGCATTCTCTTCTGATGTTGGTTTTACACTTGTTAATGAGAAATTTACTTTAGCTTTTTGGGCATGATGAAAGGAACCTAAGAAATGCTTGCTTGATGTGAAGCTGGTTTTGTGAATTATATGAAGAAAGAATCTTACATTTTAAAGTCTTTGTCCCTCTGTTTCTTCATCTCCTCTAACAACTCTGAAAAATTAGAACCACCTGTTGAACTAGAATGTTCTTTGGTAAAAGCCCAGATTCGGAGGTTAAAAAGGAAAAGGAAAATCTAGGGGGCTAGCTCTAGCCACTCAATCCATCTCTAGGTCTACTTGTAAAAAACAACTTGGGTTTACTTGATGGTGGGCAGAAAATGGGAGGGGAAGGAAATATATTTCAGAAACAACAACCCTGATTTTGAGGGCTACTTGATAGGCTGATGCGGTGATTGTTTTTATTTTTTTATTTTTTATTTTTTTTTACTAATAGGGTTTTATAGTCTGATCTTGCATAGATGTTTTTGTATCTTCAGAAAATATGTATCTGAGGGGTTGTAGAAAGTATTTCTGTGATGGTGAAAAGGGTCTGAGGAACTCTTGAAAACATAGCTTGCACTTAACTACCCTGTTCTTGATCTCCTGAAGCATTTCTTGGTTCCCTTCATTTTCTAAGTTGAGTATCTTCATGGCCTGGTGAATTTCCCTGAAAGATAAGAGGTACTTCTTAGATTGTTTTTATCCTCAAAAAAAAAAGGTATCAGGGTGGAAAATACAGGAGTAGGAATCAGACAGGAATCCTAAATTCCAATCTTCACTGCATTTTGCTGAGCCTTATCTGCAAAACTGGTATGGTGCTTAGCTTATAGGGATGTTGGTGTAGTTTCTAGGAGGATATATTCAAAGATACTAATGGTACCATTTATTGAACACCTTAATGGTGGGTACTAAACATGTCATCTCTTTAATTATTACCACAGACCCATAAGGCAGATTTATAATCTGCATTTGGTAATGAAAAAACAGGCTCAGAAAGTTTAAGTAACTTACCCATGTTCACCTTGCTAGTATATACCTGAGCCTGGGATTCAGACCCTGGTTTTTTTGACTCTAAAGCCTGTCATCACAGTAGGCACTTGATAAATGTTAGCTGGATAAATGAATAACTTAAAACCACCTGGAATGGAGAACAGGTGTGTGAACTTCATGACCTATCTAATTTAGGCCAGTTTTTCTGTTACCCACTTAGATAGGTAGGTAGGTAGGTAGGTGGATGGCACAGGTGAGCCTGTGCTTTTACAGCCATTAGACAGCCTAGAAACGCAGGGATGTATTGTGTTAACAAGGATGGGACAGTGGGCAGTATAAGAGGTCACGGCAGGAGTCAGGTTCAGAGCTTACTTTAGAACAGTCTCATGGTTCTCTAGGAGCAGCACATCTAGGAAGGTGTCCCTGACCCGGTCCCCTTGGAGGTTGAGGGCTAGGATGCTACGGCAAGCTTCTAGTCGTACACCTGGTGACTCTTCATAGTGGATGGCCCAGAGCAGGAGGTCTGTCAGCTGGGGACTCACTTGGCCAATCTGACCCAAAGCTGCAGACATTAGAGGGCAGTATGTATGTTCCACTGTCACTTAAGAGGGAGTTGGCTATATATCCTAACATCCAGAAACGGCCTTATTAATAAATAGTAATAACATATAGACAGCTACCTGCAAAATTAAGTATTGCAAATCTTTTTTTTTTTTTAACTTTTTTTTTTCCAACGTTTTTATTTATTTTTGGGACAGAGAGAGACAGAGCATGAACGGGGGAGGGGCAGAGAGAGAGGGAGACACAGAATCGGAAACAGGCTCCAGGCTCTGAGCCATCAGCCCAGAGCCTGACGCAGGGCTCGAACTCACAGACCGCGAGATCGTGACCTGGCTGAAGTCGGACGCTTAACCGACTGTGCCACCCAGGCGCCCCAAGTATTGCAAATCTTAAACTAAGTATTTTGTTGGTATCTTTTTCTGGATGACAATTATCATTAGAATTTTACGGATGGGTTAAAGTAGGACATTGTCTCCAAAGGATTCCTGTGGGGATGGGGAGGGAGGATCCATCCCATCCTTACCCCTTACAATATGAAAATAAACTAATTTACTTATTTATCTAGGGATGAGATAATGGGGCAGATAACTCAGAACACTGGCCTCATCAAGTCAAGATGATGGGGAAAGGACACACAATTACTTCACAGGTTTACCTTGGGCAAAGATTGTCCAAGAGAGAAGCAATGCCAAAGATCCTTAAAAAGGAACCCTGGGAAAATTTGAGGGCAGGGTTTTAAGTCTGTAGCAGTCTTGAATCTGGTCTTTTACAGAGTCCTATAGTGGATACCTACTTAATTCTATTGGCAGGGACTGTCTTGTCAGCCCTTTGCCTTAACAAGTTTGACAGAGATCTAGACTTGGGATCTTTAACTGAAAATTAAAAAGAAGAAAATAGTCTTTAATTTCTCAGGCAAGAACTTCTGAGAAGGTGTAATCATCCCTTCAGCTATACCTTATCCCCTTCCTAGAGAGATTCTGGGGATCTATACTAGCATTTGGGAGGCTATTTGAAGTTGAAGAGCTGGGGCCACTCCTGTCATACCTTGAATGGCAAAGGCCTTGATTTTCCAGTAAGGATCTCTCTCTATCAGGTTCAAAAGGCATTCAAGGACCTGGGATGAATAAAAGGGCAGTGTTGAGTGGAGAGGATCAGAGGAAAAGTGAACCAGAGACAGGGACCCCTCTTATCTCTAAAATGTGCTATAATTGGGCACCTGGGTGGTTCAGGTTCAGTGTCTGACTCTTGCTTTCAGCCCAGGTCATGATCCCAGGGTCATGGGATCGAGCCCCACATCGGGTATGCACTGAGTGTGGAGCCTGTGTGAGATTCTCTCTCTCCCTCTGCCCTTCCCCCTTGCTCACATGCACACGCTTTCTCTCTCAAATAAAACAAAAAATGCTCTACAACTGAAAAATGGGCTTCTGTCAATTCTAGTGACAAATGAGCTGGAGGCTGAAGCACTGGTCTACACACACAGTGCAGTAGCTGAATTATCGCTTATCTAGATTTTCCTCCGCTCACAGTTCTGTGGTCATACAGGCTTCTTTAGAACACCTTGAATCAGGTTTCCCCCTAATAATTAGGGGTTATAACTCCATTCACTGCAGTTGATCATAAAGCCCATAACTGAGGTGAGAACAGGATTCAGGGATGTGCTCAAGAGTTAAGTCTGGGCTGGCTGGGAGCAAAATGTGGTTCTAACTGATTGATGTGGCCAGTCTACCCCCTAACCTTCCAGTTTCTGATCTTTCGTTCTGTGTCCCCACAGAATGGTGAGTGTAGTATGCACAACAAGGGAAGCTCAGGTAATGCACTCTTCAGGTTAATCAGGTAAGATGGCAACATGTTTCTTTGACTCACCATCTTATCACGGATCTGCAGGGCACCTGCTGCCAAACAGGCTGCCCGCCGAACTACCATGAAGTCATCAGAGAAGCAATTCAGGAAACTTGGGAGAAGCTTGGCGGTCATGAGCTTGAGCCCACCAATAAGGGAGAGAGCTTCCACACGCTCCTGGATATTTCCTTGACTCAGCTTGACTCTATAAAGCATAAGTGCTTTTATTTTCTCTCCTTAAACTTTTGGCATCCCCACCACCAATGCCCTCAAGATAAAATCCAACCTCTGTAGGGTCTCCATTATCCATTCCCACCCTTTCCTAGTCAGCCTTATGCCTGTGAGGTTGAAGTTTCACTGAGTAGAGACCTCCATTATTTACTTGGACCCCTATTACTAGCATATGCTAGGCACTAAACTATGTTGAATGACTGAATAAAGGAAACTTTCATGTACCTGTTGTTACAGTCTAGTTCTCTCCACTGCCCTCACACATGCCATCCTCATTTTGCACATTTGGCTCCCAGCCTGGAAATGTCTTCCCTTCTCTTTGCCTACGTAGTCTTTTTTTTTTTTTAACGTTTTTTATTTATTTTTGGGACAGAGAGAGACAGAGCATGAACGGGGGAGGGGCAGAGAGAGAGAGGGAGACACAGAATCGGAAACAGGCTCCAGGCTCCGAGCCATCAGCCCAGAGCCCGACGCGGGGCTCGAACTCACGGACCGCGAGATCGTGACCTGGCTGAAGTCAGACGCTTAACCGACTGCGCCACCCAGGCGCCCCTCTTTTTTTTTTTTAAGTGGTTATTTATCTTTGAGAGAAACAGAGCAGGGGACGGGCAGAGAGACGGGGAGGCAGAGGATATGAAGCAGGCTCTGTGCTGACAGCAGAGAGCCTGATGTGGGTCTGATGTGGGTCGAACTCATGAACAGCGAGATCATGCCCTGAGCTAAGTCAGACACTTAACTGACTGAGCCACCCAGGCGTCCCTGCCTGTGTAGTTTTCTTATCCATCCTCTCTGAAAGCTGACCTTACTAAGCATTTGTAAATTATGCCTGGCCTCTACAATCAGAATCATGTCATGCTTTTGAACCCTCAAACATCCAAAACACCCTCACCTAGTGGGCACTCAATTAATGATTCTTTCCTTAGGCACATTGTTAGTGTCCATAGGGACTGGTAATTTTTATTTTTAAGATAATCCTGCAGTGGGACCTAATACAATGCCAAGCATACAAAGCAACTCAGCAGATGCTGGCTGACTGGATCCCAGGCTTCCTAAACACAAGAATAGAAAAGTTACTGTGTGCGTGTTAACTGTACATTAACTGTGTATGTAACTGTGCGTCTTACCTGATTGTGTCGTGCACCTCTTTCCCAAGGCTCATTTGCCCCAGAGCTCGGGCCGCTGCACGTCTCACTTCCTTATTCCAGTCACTCAGCATCAGCTGGATCAACTTATGTTTCATATCCTATAAAGAGGTATAATTTAGGTATAAAATAGCTGCCATTTATTGAATGTCAATTTTGTGCTTGGCTCTGTGCCAGGTGTTTTTACCCATCACTTAATCCTCCCAAACAATCCAGTGAGGCAGATTACCATTTGCAGATGACAAAATAGTCTTAGGTTTACTTGCCCAAGGTTAACCTGTTGAATGCTAGAACCTGGACTCAGACCCAGTTTGCTAAGCTTAGGCTCCAAACTACTATGTTGGGGTCAATGTAATCTGTACTTGAAGGACTTAAAATGTGATGGTGATACATTAATAGGGTGACCAACTCATTCCACTGTGCCTGGGATTTTTCCAGGTTTAGTACTAAAAGTCCTGTGTTCTGGACAAAGCAGTACAGTTGACCTGTATATGTTACTATATATATTAGTACTTCATTCAAAAGGGAAGAGACAGGGGCACCTGGGTGCCTTCAGTTGGTCAAGCATCCGACTCTTGATTTTGATTTCGGCTCAGGTCATGATCTCACAGTTGTGAGGCCCTGAGCTGGGTGTGGAGCCTGCTTGGGATTCTCCCTCTCCCCACATGACCTCTGCCTGCCTGTCCCTCTCTCCCTCCTTCTGTCTCTCTCTCTCCCCACTCCCCTCCTGACCTCCTCCCTCCCCCTCTCAAAAAAAGGAAGGGAAGAGACAAAGATTACTACAGTTGTAGTTCATGATTGTGTAAATATGCCCAAGCTATTCTCCCTGTTTGAAACCTCTCTTTTAGGATTTAGCTCAAAAAGTATCTCTGAACTCTCCTCTGCCCTCTGCAAGCATAGGAAATCCCTGTAATGCTTTACAGTTGCTTCTGTTGTAGCTATTTATAACATTTATCAAGAAAAGACATAATATTTTTGCATCCCCAGTGCTGGCATAGTGGCTAGCATGTAGGATGTGGTCAGAAACTGCTTGCTTACTGAATGAGTGAAGGACCAATACACATAGTGCCTTTCTTCATTCCAGCAATCTGACATGAAGCACTCATTTTTATCTGGTCAGTCCCCTGCCTGCTCTGCATGTCTTTTTTACTTTTAGTTGGCAATCTTGAGTGCCAAGTTCTAAGGAGGTGAATGTGCAAATGAGTCAGATTTAAAATGCAGATTCTGACTGAGTTAGCCTGAAGTGACATTTTGCCCTTCTAACAAACCCAGGTCATGCCTGTGCTGCTGGTCAGGACTTTAGAGGAAGGGTACATGGCAGCTGGGGCAGAATTAACCCAGACTAAAACATTTTCAGGTGATTTTACTGAATTCTACCAGGTTTTGGGCTTTCCACTCAACATGCGAGGGCCCAAGGGTGGAAGGTGTTCACTTCTCATGGGTATGGCAGTGTTCTGGGCCATTTTGGAAGTGCTCAGTGTTACAAGGAAAAGATACAGCGCCACACAGGAAGAAGGGGATATCCCCGTTTGGATAGCTGAAGATGTTTTCAAAAATAATGGCAAGAAGCAGGTCAAGTGAAAGCCCAAATGATGGTCAGGGTTTACCTTGCCTGGAAGTCCCTCTTCAGTTCTGTCCAAGTCTAGTCCATCTGTCCCACACTCCTTCCCAGAACTTAAACTGATAGATTCAGCCTACAATAATGTTTCTCTGAAAACTAAGAGCGTATCTTACATTTATCACTTGTTCTTGAATCATTTGTGTTTAGTCTTATTTTAAGAGCGAAAGCAAGTGAGGAGGGACAGAGAGAGAGAGTGAGCATCCTAAGCAGGCTCCACACGGCTAGTACAGAGCCTGATGCGGGGCTTGAACCCACGAACTGTGAGATCATGACCTGAACGGAAACCAAAAGTCAGACGCTTAACTGAGCCACCCAGGCGCCACAGTAGTGACTATGTTTTATACCTTCTTTATGTGAACACTCAGAGCCAACATAGACACTAGTATGGTTGGGTTGTTGGGTAGTTTAAGTCCATACTTCTCAAACTATTTGCTGAAGGACCAGTTGGGGGGGGAGGGAGGTGTCACTGACTGATACTTAATGGTAGATTAATGTTAAGGCAATGTAAAAGTACTATAAAAGTTTCTAAATTCTCCTAGGTTGTTTTTTGTTTTTTTGCTTATTTGTGGGTAGATTACAGTTTGTGGTTTGCTACCATGCTAAGGAGCAGGTGGCTTGAGTCAGACATGGTGGCATATGAAGATAATCCTGGGTTAAGGACTAAGGTCGCAGTGTGAAGACAAAGACCTGCTTGGTAAGAATGGGATACTAAGCAGCAAAACATGGAAGGGCTCCCAGCCTCCTTTTGCTTAGACTTTCTGTCCTGGAAACACAGCAGGCTTACCAAACTGACATTTCCACTGATCCGCCCAAGAGCCTGGCAGGCCACAATCCGGTCCTTCCACTGGTGGCTGTTCAGCTCCACAGCAAGCATGGTGTGTATCAGGGTCTGAGGAATGGAAGACTTATGTGGATACTTATGATAACTTTGAGAGATGCTGGAGCCTTGAAGAAGTTCTATCCTAACATGGCATTCAGCATAATTAATGTCACAATTACATGAGATGGCCATCCCTCCAAAAAGGAAAGAGTAGTTTATAAGATACAGGGTACTTTTCTATCTGAGCCCCCTGACTTCTGGAATCATAAATCTGAGAACAAAATAGAGATTTAGTGACTTGAACAGAGACTCCTGGGGCCTTCTCTTTAACTATCTTTACTCTTAAAGTGATTTGTATATGCCTCAGTCTTTGTGAGTTTCACATCTCTACTGAAAGTAAACACACTTGTGGGCCTGTGCAGTTTTCAATTCTAAACTTGTGGCAGAAGCAAATCCTACATATCACAACTCTTCTTGCAAACACAGAAACCGTCTGCAACCTACTTTTCTCACCTTTCTCTCAGGTTGCAGGTGTCCCTATTCCTTGTATACACACCTGCATACCCCAGTTCACCCACACGCTTTTTCCAGCTTTATGTGTGAGATCGTCTTACTCAACCATCTGCATTTTCGATTCCTTACACGTACTGACCTCAAAGACTCAATTGTTCCCCACAACTTGGTTTCTTTCTTTGACCCTGTAATGGACACATACTGTCTCCCCACTGAGATGGCTCAGGAGCATATAAGACTGATGCTCAGTGTCCTCATTCTTCTTGTTAAACAGCTGCTGGAGGATCCTCTTAATCACGGGGTATGTGGCAGCACCTTCCAGAGCCAGGCACTGAGCTGCAGCCCAGCTGTCCACGCTGTTACCTGTCAGGTGGGGTAAAAAAAATGGTGATCTGCTCTCCCACAGAGTGAACAGTCAGCCTTCAGCATTGGTACTCAAGGCTGTTGCCTGCCTGGTATCTCACTTCCTTGTGCCCCTCCCTGTATAGAAGTCAACGCCTATATTTAAATGGATCACATCAAGGTTTTCAGTATAGACTGAAAATCTTAACCTGAAAAGTCAAATCCTAAAAGGCTTTTACTGGGTAACAGCAACAAGGCTCTTATGACCTGGGTAAGAGATACAATTATTCATTCCCCTAGTGATTGGGAAGGCTAGAGTGGAGGCTTTCTTAAGACGATGAATTAGGTTTTTGAAGGTCTATATGCAGAATGCCAAACCAGTCAGCCAGTTGTCCTTGTCTGCTCAGGCCCCCAGGAAAGGAAGAAACATACTTTTTCAGAGAGGGGTCAGCCCCCTTGGGCAAATCACCTGACAACTTTTTGCTTTATGTGGACAATGCCTGTAAGTTAATGTAGAGAATGGAAGCATGATGTGTTTGAACAGGGGTGATTTTTTTAGAAAGTATTCTTTAGTATTTACATCTTTTCAATTAAAAGTAAATCTGTGGGGGCGTCTGGGTGGCTCAGTCAGTTAAGTGACTGACTTTGGCTCAGGTCATCATCTCACAGTTGGGTTTGAGCCCCACATTGGGCTCTGTGCTTACAGCTCAGAACCTGGAGCCTGCTTCAGATTCTGTGTTTCCCTGTCTCTCTCGCTCTCGCTCTCTCTCTCTCTCTCTCTCTCTCAAGAATAAACGTTAAAAAAAAAAAAAACGTTAAATCTGTGGTGGGGTGCCTGAGTGGCTCAGTTGGTTAAGCATCTGACTTCGGCTCAGGTCATGGTCTTGCAGTTTGTGAGTTCAAGCCCCACGTCGGGCTCTGTGCCGACAGCTCAGAGCCTGGAGCCTGCTTTGGAGTCTATGTTTCCCTCTCTCTCTGCCCTTCTCCTGCTCGTGCTCTGTCTCAAAAAATAAATAAACATGAAAAAATTTTAAAAAAATAAATAAATAAAGGAAATCTGTGGTGAGGCTCCCGACTGGCTCAGTCCAAAGAGCATGTGACTCTTGATCTCGGAGTCCTGAGTTTGAGCCCTATGCTAGGTGTAGAGATTATATACATACATACATATACACACAAACTTTTTTCCTTTTTTTTTTTTTAAAGTTTATTTATTTTGACAGAGTGACAAATTGAAGGGGACCGGGGGGGGGGAGGGGATTGAGAGAGAGAAAGAGAGTCCCAAGCAGGCTCCATGTTGTCAGCAAAGAGCCCAACGCAGGGCTTGATCCCACAACCCTAGGATTGCGACCTGAACCAAAATCAAGAGTCAGATGCTTAACTGACTGAGCCACCCAGGTGCCCCTACATTTGGTTTCTAGGCAAATGTATCCATGAAATATTTAGGTACCACTAGGTGGCAATGTACCTATTTTGGAAAAGTACCCTAAGAATAGCTATCTCTGGATGTTCATAAACATAAACCCAAACCCTCTAATACAGTAGACATCACAAAGCATGATATTGGAGAAGAAAGGATCAGGAAAAGCTGATGGTGAGATGTCCTGTCTTTACCCCATATACCCAGGTCAGAAGTGACAAGGAGTTACTCACCCTTTAAAAGGGCAGTCTGCATGATGTCCCGGGCAAGGGGATTGTGTGACTGTATGGCATATTGGCATACTGCTGCTGCCATCCGCACATTGGCATTTTTATCACAAAGAGCAGCTTCCAGGGCAGGCTGTAGAACCTCTGGCAAGTCCTTGATAGATGGGGCCTTCACGGTCTCTTTGTCTATGTTCAAGAGAGACCCAGGTAAGAAGTGCTAGCCACGTTGATTTTCCCTGAAACACAGCTTCCTTCCCATAGCCACACAGTGGTCGGCCTCAGTCTCAGTTGCAGATGCTTACTGCTACTTAATAAGAGTTTAGCTGAGCCCCTGCAATGGGCAGGCTTTTATGGCTCACTTCTGTGCTGGGTATGCCAGTTCCCAATCCTTTATCATCTGGCCTCTAAAGAGTTGGATTCAAGCTGCAGAAGGTTTCTAGCTAGATGATGGTGACCTTCACCATTAGTTTTAGTGATGAAAATCAACCTATTTACCACGTATATTTTTTGTATTTATAATAATAATAATAGCAATTATATTTAGGTAGTGCTTTGCCAATTACAGTGTTTTCATGTTATCCCATTCAACCTTCTAGCCCTCATTGACATAGGCAAGGCACGTATTAACTGTAGAGCCCACCTGAAATGTGAGTTATTTCAGGAGTCTTTTTAGGTCTAAACAGACTCACAAGACTCATAGGCCACACAAAGCACCAGTCTTCAGAAGAATATAAGATAGGAGCACAGTTTGCCAACAGGGTAGCAGCAGGCATTCCTTTTGGCCAGAGTTCATGATGCAGTTTGTACAGCATTCCACACATCCTTCTGGGGACAAGTGCTATGTTCCACAGGAGTTAGTATGTCTTAGAACAACTCCATAGATATAATTCCAGGGTCCACAAAGGGTATGCCTGTTATTAAGTGACAGCATTCATGGAAGCCCAAAGGATGGTGCCCCTTTAAAGTATTTATATTTCACTTACAGTTTTTTCCAGTCCAAATGTGATTTATCAGAGTTTATTTTTATCATAAACAATGTTGCCTATAAAGATAGTTCCTATCCTGATCAGGTTATCTGGGCAACAGGTAGGCATTTTAACCAAAGTTCAAATTCTCAAGTAGAAGGGGAAAGGGCCTGTTAACCTTTCATCCACAGTTATCCTCATTTTAGAGATAAGGAATTTGAAATTCAGATAGGCTAACTGACTTCCCAAGAAGAAACAGCTGGACCTGTGACGAGGAATTTTAAGATTTCTTATCTGTCCAGTTTTATTACTGCTGTGGGCTACTCTGCCATTTGTTAAGAATAGGCTAGATGGAAACATGTATTTTAGGGGAATATGTAGAAGTAGAAGTCAAACGAGTATTTCAAGAAATAATGAGTAAGACAATTTTCTTTGAGAATGTATGGGGAAGAAACAAGACAAAACAAATCAATCTAGACACCAACATGTGAAAGGGATCAAATGGAAGGCATAATTCGGAGCAGACAAAAGTGTTCTTTGTATGTATGTGGAAGATCTGGGGATAAGATTATAATAATCAGTTGCTGCCTACTGAAGGTTTTATCTGTGCCAGGCACTGAAAATACATTATCCATTTAATACCCAAGGAAATAAGTATACAATAAAAAATGTATATGTGGGGCACATGCAACTCTTGATCTTGGGGTCGTGAGTTCAAGCCCACATTGGGCATAGAGCTTTTTAAAAAAAAGTATATGTGTGGAAGCATGTAGTGGGGAGAATGAACCAAGTCTGGGTAATGGGGCAGGGAAGACTCTTCAGAAGAGTTGATAGCTGAAAATTGAAGGACAAGTATAGAAGTTAATCAGGTAAAGAGAAATGAGGAGTTTTCCAGCAGATTTAAAAACCGGTAGCAGAAATGCCCTTTATCTGGAACTTGGTAGATAGAAAATAAGTGAAATGAAACTTTAAAAAACCTAACAACTTCGTAGAAATAAAATTAGTTCCTGCCATTAAGGAGTTCCTTGTCTGGTAGGAAAGGCAAAAAAGCAAACAGACTATTATGATAGACTAATAAATATTAGGACAGAATAATATTAGGATGCTACCAGCAGCAAAGAGGAAAAAGTGCCAGTCCAGGCTTCACATAAAATGTGAGGGCATTTGAGAAATAAGTCAGTTGGTTTTATGTCCTTTCAATAGCACTTTATCATTTGGGTCCTTCTGTCTTGTTAAACTGGCGCTTCAGCAGATTACAATTCTGGCTGTTGTACATGGGAAATGTTCCTTTTTCAGTGCTTATTACTACTAAGGAAAAAAGCTATTGACATTGCTTTCCCAAGAGATTAAGACCATTGGAAAAAATGGCTGTGTCCTTAGTTCATTTTATAAAGCTAGCAAAAACTAAAACTTAACAAAAGTAAACTACCAAATGTAATAAAACATTTTAAAATATTAACAAATCAGGACACCTAGGTGGCTCAGTCAGTAAAGTGTTGATCGACTCTTGATTTCAGTTCAGGTGATCTCATGGTTTGTGGGATCAAGCCCTGAGTCAGGCTCCACGCTGACCATGCAGAGCCCGTTTGGGATTCTCTCTCTCTCCTTTCTCTGACCCTCCCCTGCTTGTGCTCTCTCTTCTCTAAATAAACAAGCAAACAAATAAATAAAATATTAACAAATCAAACCCAGTGGAGTAATAAAAGAATAATATATCATGATCTGTTATAGCCTAACAAGAGAATTCATCGTGTGCACAAATTAAAGGAGAAAAAACTAGGGAATGGCTGATAAAATTCACTCATTTTTATAATAAGTAGAAAAGCCTACATGCATGTTGGCATATATTTGGAAAAGCACAAAGAAAGATGTGAAATGCCAAACTAACATTGGTGACTCGGGAGTGCCATGGGGTGGGACTAGGACTGGGAAGTGAGTCGGGGGAAGAGAATCCCTCTTTTTATATTCATCTGTTGACTGATGAATATACAAAGAGGGAAGCAGAATGAGTAGAATCTATTGGTTATGGGAAGAATAAGGATTTGTCTAGGACTCCCAGGGCCCTGACTCAGCAAATAGATGTATTGTAGGGCTGCTGATTGAGATCTGGAAAGTGGGGAGGGGTCTATGGCGATTAGTTCAGTTTGGATTTCAGATGTGCTGTCAAAAGAAGTGCTAAAATAGAGTCAGGAGGGGAAAGTGAATTGTGTGTGTGTGTGTGTGTGTGTGTGTGTGTGTGTGTGTATACACACACACATACATGTATGTATATTATACCCAACTACAGTTTCTTTTGATGACTACAATGTATACACACACACACACACACACACACACACACACACACACACACACATAATTTTTGGCTATTACAAATGGGATCTCTCAAGGGGGAACAATGTGGACTTCCATGAAACTGCTGAGTAAATAAAAGGTAATGAAATGTGATGTAAAAAGCACTGGACCATAAGTCAGGAATTTTAATTTCATCTCCGTTGATGATAAGCTGTGTGTATTCAGGCCACTGTCTGGGCCTTGGTTTCCACATTTGTAAAATCTCAGATAAGGTTGAAGGTCTGCACCAGTTAACATTGTGGCTGTGTTGAGTTGCTTATATTCTCAAACAGTTCAATTCTGGCTCTGACCTGAGTCCCCTTGGCTGGTGGCAATCCGGGGCCTTTCTAAAGCAGCTGTAGCACATGTGATGATGGCTCGGATCCGAATGTCATCATGCATGTCCCCCAAGCCCCGCAGCAGGCCCTCTACTGTCTCATGGTGCCACTCAGTAACTATGCCACAGGGAGGGAAATGAGAAGAAAACCATCAGGTTAGAGTTAGTCTGCTTTCTCCTAGCACAATTCAAGCAAAACATTAGCTCAGACAAATAAAGGGCTCCAGGGTTCTTTGGGAAGTTACTTCTCTGATAATCCATGGGCCCTCTGGGGCAGTTCCCAAACACAACTTCACCCCCCCCATCCCATTTTATATTCTATCTCTGTTTAAATAGCTCTTCATTGTTACCATATGGAAAATAATAGGGGTGATAAAACATAGTGATTAAGGGTACTTTGTTGTCAAACATACCCAGTTTGACACAGTTATTAGCTGTGTAACCTTGGATGAGTTACTTAACCTCTCTGAGCTTAATATTTCTCATTTGTAAAATGGGAATGATACTAGAACCTACCATATTGAGCTACTTTGAGTATTAAATGAGTTAACTGGACAAAGTATTTAGCAAAATGCCTGACAAGGGCTCAACTGTTAGTGGTTGTTGTTTCCCTGCCTTTGAGGGTTCTTCTAGCTGGCTTTCAGGGTCTTCCTCACTTTATTGCTAACTTCTCTGCAAGAATCAAGTAGGTTTTTCTCAATCTCTTTCAACCCTTTTTTGTTTATCTAATCTAGTATATGTGATGGATTGCCTGTTTGTCCCACGCTAATTAAACTAGTCTCGTGTTTTGCAGGCCAGCAGCCCTGAGTCCTCAGGTCTTCTAGCTTTACACAGTCCTTGCTAGGCCTTTACTCTGCCCTTAGGCACTCAGCCTTCTACGCCCATATCTCCAAAGGCAGAATGTACATATGAGAATCCCAGCCTCACATACACATTTTAGAAAAGGATTATTTATACCGCAGCCAACTACAGTTTCTTTTGATTACTACATTTCCATTGCTTGGGCAGCATATTTCGTCATTCCCTTCTTGCATCATTTATTGAGCATGAAGTTTCAGAGGTCATGAGACAGGCCCTGTCTGAGAAGAGTCCTCGATTTAGTGATAGTGAGTATACACAAATTTCTGAAGTCAAACCTGCCAATGCAAAGAGCCTATACGTCAACTATGATTGTGTAAAAGGCTCTTCTCTATTGTAAACTTGAGGAGGCAACCAGATTTGTATGTTTTGCAAGGAATGGATTTTGAGAGATTGAGAAACTAGTCCAAGGTAAGAACTTCCTCCCTAAAATATATACTGCTATCTCTGGACCCACCCCCACCCCTTCACTTACTCAGAGCCCAGGCAGTCTTCCATTCCTGCAGCATCCGCTGCAGCACCACCAGTTCCCAAGTCATAGCCTTCTCCTGGGATTTTTCCTGCTTCTTCAGCCTCCTGGTCTTAATGGGCACATCCTCCTCATCCACCTGGAGCAGCAGATCCTTGACTGGGGTGGGCAGAGCAATCCAGCGCGGGACTCCTTGCACAGGCCTGCAGGCTGTTCATTAGGGCAGTGTGAGATAGTCTTACCCCAGTGCCCTAGACCCTGTGTTCCCAGCTAGCATTAAGGCGAAACAAAACTCTTGAGAGCAGACTTTCCCATGATTATAGAGAATTAGGAAAAGTCCTGATGGCAGACATGATAAAGCCGTGCTGATGGAGGGGTGGGGTAGGGGGGGATTGAGATCTGTGCAAACCTTTTTATAAGTTTAATCTTTAGGAACATAAATATGTTTATATGTAATAAGATTTTCTCATAAAATCCAGTATCTGATATATTGCAGTTTAGGTAGAGTGTAATTGTCCATTCCTAGTTTATGAGGTTTTCTTTTTTTTTTTTTTTAAGTTTATTTTAGTAATCTCTACAACCAACATGGAACTCGAACTCATGACACTGAGATCAAGAGTCGCATGTTCTTCGCTGGAGCCAGCCAGGTGCTGGTTTTATGTTTCTTTTTAATGTTTTTAATTTGGGAGAAGGAACATTGCTACAAGCTGCTAAGTTTGAAAGGTTTTAGTATGTCTGAGTTTTTCCTCATTCTGACCAATAACAGCTGGAAATTTGAGGACAGAAGAGCATATTATATAAATTTGGTTAGATTTTCTAGACTTGGTGATCTCCCTGGTGTCAAATTCAGAAAGCCTCTTCCTAAGAAGAGCAGTTGTGTGGAGAAGGCAAAACAGATAAAAACTTTTCCAGATTACCAAATTCATTATCTGCTGCATCACTTATCAGTCTCATGCTCTAATCTGTCACTACCAATGGTTTGTGTTTCTTCCAAGATTTCATTCTAACACATTTAGATTTGTTCTGAATCCATTCTTCCCTTTGAGCAAGGAAGGCAGTACCATTTCTTTCTTCTAATGTAAAGAGTCTTGTGAGACTCGAGGGCAGTTTAGTTCAGATGCCCATACAGAGCATGCCCTCCGAATGGTTCTGCCGCAGGTTGGTCATACTGGAGGAGCTCAGTCACCCTGTTGAGGGCTGGCTTCCTTTCAGTATAGGGTGTGCAGCCAGAGTGGTAGAACCACATCCAGACAGGTCAGCTCCCAGGGAGTCGATACTTTGCCACATGACACTCCACCATTTCTTTCCTCTCAGCCTGCTTGAAATCCCTCCCAAGAAAGTGAGACATGGCTGGATTAGTTCCTTTCCTCCTCTGTCCCCCTGCTCAGGGAGTTAAAAAAGATGTGGTGAGAAAGTCTTGAATCTCTGGTATTTAACCTCCATGGGAATAAACATGCACAACTGCCAACACTAATTCTACCTCTGGTCCTTTAAGTTCTAGGCAGGTTAAAACACACCCATTAGCCACGTTCTATGTCAAAAGTCCTCTGAAGATGGGACGCCTGGGTGGTTCACTTGGTTGGGTGTCTGACTCTTGATTTTGGTGCAGGTTGTGATCTTGTAGATCGTGGGATGGAGCCCTGCATTGGGCTCTTCACTAATGGTGCAGAGCCTGCTTGGGATTTTCTCTCTCTTCTCTCTGCCCCTCCCCTATGCTCGCTCACTCCTCTCTCTCTCTCAAAATAAATAAATGTAAAAAACAAAAAAGTCCTCTGAAGGGAGCACATGAAGAAACAACCTTTCTGTGGTATAAAAGGCACAGTATGCTTTTTAGCAGAAACAAATGGTGCCTTTGACTTTGTACCATAAGACCTATACTTAATATATTATAAGAACTGTAGTGATCTTGTGGGCACACTAGAGTTTTATATCATGATTTGGGGGAAATTAAGGCTATATAGCAGTAAGTACACTTTGTATCTTGAGAATTTTTGTCATTTTAAAGAAATTATCTAAGTTTTTCAATTCAATCAAAATGGAGAGTAAAATAATCTACCCACATCTAACTCCAGGAATTTTCCTATTTTTTTTTTTCAGGTTCTCTCATACCTAGTATTTCCTGAGATAAGGAGTAAAATAGTTATAAGAAGGTGTATGTATATTACTATTCTGACTTGCCTTCTCCCAGAACAATTTCAAATACTATTTACTTAAAGTAGGCTCCACACCCAACGTGGGGCTTGAAACTCATGACCCTGAGATCAAGAGTTGCAGGCTCTACCAATGGAGCCAGTCAGGTGCCCCCAATTTCAAACACTATTTAAAAAAAGGAGTTTGGGAAAGATTCCACAGCTTCTGTTCATTAAATATTCTATGTTCTAGGGAAGAAGAGAGCAGGCATCTAGCACACTAGGGAAAAAATGCCTGTGAGGCAGGTGGTGAGGCATCTGAATGCAGCAGGGGGGTTTCTTTTTTTAATAACATCTTTGTGGTAGAATTCACATACTATAAAATTCATCCTTTTAAAATGTATACATTTCAGGGGTGCCTGGGTGGCTCAGTTGGTTAAGCATCAGACTTCAGCTCAGGTCATGATCTCATACCCTGTGAGTTCAAGCCCTGCATCGGGCTCTGTGCTGACAGCTCAGAGCCTGGAGCCTGCTTCAGATTCTGTGTCTCCCCCTCTGTCTGCCCCTCCCCTGCTCATGCTCTGTCACTCTCTGTCTCAAAAATTTAAAAAAAAAAAAAAAAAACATTAAAAAAAGTTAAATGTATACATTTCAGTGGTTTTTAATATATTCACAGAGTTGTAAACTATCACAACGTCTAATTTTAGGCTATTTTTATCCCCCCAAAAAGAAACCCTGTGCCTATTCCTCGCTTCCCCCAGCAACCTGATCAACTTTCTGTCTCTGTGGATTCACCTCTTTTCAGAGGGGAGGACATAATCCAGTTGGCTTCTGGGAAGGTAGTATACTAATAATAAATCCTTGAGTTTGTATAGCACTTAATGGTTTACAAAATGCATTCACAAAGTCCCCTAAGTATCAATAAATATCACAAAAATCAGTATTACAAAAGTGCTTTGCTGTAGGGACAATTAGTAGCTCTAATGAAGCTAGTGAAGCCCCAGAAGGTGATTTGCATAGACCCAATCAAAAGTTTTGTTGGGGTGCTTTCTCCACCACTACCATTAGTTTCTGTGCGCCAGGAGGCCCATTGGAGCAGTGACACTGCAAAGGGAAGGGTCATGGGACATGGAAGCATAGTCCCTTGGAGGATGGGCACTTTTTGTTTCATAAGCTCATTTCCTAGCCATCTCTCTTCCCTCTCTCTCTCAGAATCAAGAATGATACTCTCTTTTTGAAGATTTTTTTAAGTAATCTCTACACCCAATGTGGGACTCTAACAACCCAGAGATCAAGAATTGCATGCTCTGGGTTCCTGGTGGCTTGGTTGAGTGTCTCACTCTTGATTCCAGCTCAAGTTATGACCCCAGGGGTCATGAAAGCCCAGATTCCCCGGCATTGGGCTCTGTGCTGAGCATGGTGCCTGCTTAAGATTCTCTCTTGGGATGCATGGGTGGCTCAGTTGGTTAAGTGTCTGACTCTTGATTTCAGCTCAGATCATGATCTCACGATTTGTGGGTTTTGGAGTTGCTCTAGTCCGGGCTCTGTGTCTGATGATGTAGAACCTGCTTGCATGATCTCCCTCCCCCTCTCTCTCTCTCTCTCTCTCTCCCTCCCAAAATAAATAAACTTAAAAAAAAAAAAAAAGCTATAAGAAACCTGTAGCAAAAACAAGAAAAAATTTTTGAAAAAGATTCTCCTTTTTTCATGCTCTACCAACTGAGCCAGCCAGGCACCCCAAGAATGATATAAAACAATTTTAGAACAGAGGATGACCCTAGTACCTGAGGCAGGTATGGGTCTGAGAATGGAATGGGACGGTAGAGCCAGCCCAAAGGGACAGGACAGTGCTGGATCAAGGGTTCAATGTACTTCTCCTGGAAGTAAAGGAAGAAAATGGACCTGCCTCATTGGTAATTACCAGCCCTAAATCTCTTGGTTACATCTAAATTTGACCTGATTTCAACTGAATGGATGTTCCACAAAGGTTCTTCCTAGTTACAGTTAGTGTTTTATAATTTTATGAGATGATTTTTAGTTGGCAGGAAGCGACTCCGCTACATGCTGGTGATGCCCAGCCTATAAAACAGGGTCCTTAAAGAAATAGCCACACTTCCCTCATCACCCCTATTATCCACTTCCCGCTTACGTGCTTCAGGAACTGGCTGGGAAGTCCACCTTTCTGGGGTTTCAGGGAAAACTTTGGAGAGCTGCTTCTTGTACCTATTGAAGTTTTCCAGGAAAATATGGTCTCTCTTTGCACCAATCTGGTGGATGACCTGGACTTTATCTGTGAACAGATAAATAAGGAGTCCTTAGTACCACCCTCCTTCCTGTCTTGCTGGGTTTTCAGTCACCAGGATCAGACCCAATTTCCTTTTGCTTTACTCTAAGCTCTTAGGACTTACGACTACCATGATGTGGGGGCATGCCTTGAAGGTGACTGTTGCTTGGAAATATGAGCTGGTGGCTTCATAGAGGCTTGAAACCAAAGCAGAACCTGTCTAACTTACAGGCATTGTCCCCTATTAAAAGTTAAGTACTAATAAAGGGAGATTTAATTCATTTCCTACCATTCATAAATACTTTCATCTGAATAATTCTGTTAAATGCTTTAGGAAGACTTTCAGTTGACAGTTTAGGAAGAAGATGGGTGCAAGGAAGAATAAACAGCTTCGAACATACAGACCTAGATCATGTATCTTGGAAGCCCAAGCGTCTAAAGGATAGCAAGATGGAAGGGGAAGGTAGTGGACATTTATTGAGCATGAGCCAAGAAGCATTATAGATGCTTTCTTGTCTGTTCTTTACTTGAGGTGTATTTTTGTTAATATCATTTTACAAATAAGGTCCATAAGGCTCAGAGGGATTACATAACTTACTGAAGGTTAGTGGAAAGGTGCTAAGCCAGGCTCCACTAGACTCCAAATCCCACGATTTTTTTCTAACATAGCACCTCAATGGGGGATTATCTCAAAGGGAAAGAAAGAAGACAAGAGGTAGTTGTTCTCAGAGCCAAATCTGTTTACTTTATGACCCCACCCTCCACAGCCTCCTTAGTAACAGAAAGGGATAGAGAAAGGGGAAGAGGGAAAACAGTTTCGCCTGCACCAGATACCTGCCTGCCCCTCTTCCCCCCCACCCCGCCAAAAAAAATCTGTGCTGGTAACTAGGGGATGTTGCCATGAACACCTTGGTCATCCAGAGCCTCTTGTCCACACTCATGACTGTTTCATCCCCTGGCTACTTTCCACCTCCCTGCTCCATGTCCACCCAGCCCCCAGCACGGCACCCCAGCTCTATTACCAAAGTATATTTCCTGTTCAAAGGTGTTGTCTGTGGAGTAAGCAAACTTTCCAGCTCGAGGATTCACCTGTCGAAAGTACCTCTGGTTCGGGGGCTGGCAGATGTTCTTTCCTTTGATACCCTCAGCAGTCTTATTGTTGCCAGGCATAGGTTCACCTGTCTGCACTTGAGGCAAGTAATTGGGCAATCTTAGCAGGAGGGAGAGAGGGAGAGAAGGGAAAGGTGGGAGATGGACCTTCTGCTTTCCATCAGACCCACAGCTCCTCTTTAAGCTCACCTCATACACACATGAGCATCTGGAAAACACCTATGTTTAACTATTCACTTTGCTCCCAAGATGCCCTATGAAGGTACCTATCAGCAGCCAACTTCTCTTCCTCTAATACAGCCACTCCTGTAGCCACTGGACAGTATGACAGAGTGGCCATGCTCCCAGCATTACCCTTTTTAAAAACAAAAACAACAACAACATTGGTGCCTTTAGAGATTGCACTGATGTGGGGAAGGGAACCAATTCTATATTATTTCACTTTATTATGTATGTGCTTATTTCATGCCTGTCCACCCCGTGAACATATAAGCTCCTTAAAGGTTCCATATCTCTCGTTTACAGTGTATTCCCAGCACTTTGCAGAGTACCTGGCAAGTAGTGGGAATGCAGTTTATATTTATCTAATAAATGGACAAATTAACGGATTCCCACTTTTAGTTCGCTTTTGGGAATCAGGGACATTAGACTAGCTCCAGTCTTCCATCTAGCTATAAATGAGAAGGAAGCAACCAGAAATATGCAGTAATCTTCCCTCAAATTGTTTAGTTCTCTGTCCTGCTGCCAGTTCGTTTTTGAGGCACTGACACATTGGCTCCTTAATTCAAAGCGAGGCAGGACCAAACCTTATTTTCCCCATGGATACATTTCTGGGAGCACCTGGATAGTAACTGGATCAGCAGAATCGCTCAGTCTGTTAGGAAAGGCCCAAAACCAACCCCTTTACAGGCAGTGGTTCTCAACTGGGAGTGACTTTGTCCCTTAAGGGGACATGTGTCAATGACTGGAGACCTCTCTGGTTGTCACAACTACAGAGTGTTACTGGCATCCAGTGGGGTGTTACTAAACATCTTACAAGGTATAAGGCAGACCCCCACAACAGGATTATCCAGTCCAGGATGTCAGTAGTGCCTAGGCTGTGAAACCTTACTTGAAGGAGATCTTAGAGAGTAGGTTGGCAGTGGAGAACTCCAAGAGGTTGATGGGACAGCACATTCTGAAATAAGGAATGTGAACTAACGCAGGAGTCCTGGAAGGGGAGCCAAGCATTCTCAAAGGTGTGCCAGAGGCCTCAGCCAGTCTACCTATAGTAAACAGGAAGCAGCAGCTCTGGCTTCTTTTTCTCCTGGATTGGCAGGATAACACTTCGATCCTCAAATTCTGCTGTTTCTTCTTCTTCCAGCTGTTTCAAGAGCTCCAGGTCACTGGTGGAAGAAAGCTCATCCCGGATGTGGCTCCAGTCGTACTGCTGGTGCAGAAAGCTCTGCCACTTGTTGGGGGATACCCGAGACCTTAGGGGACGCTTGCTCTGGATCCATCGGGCAGTGCGCTTGTTCAGCTTTTCCAGCACGATAGCTTCCCAGGCTCTGGCCTCCTTCTCAGGAGGTGGAAGCCAGGCTTCCCTCACTTCCAGGTTCACATCTGGAGAAAGTGACAGACCTAGCACATCCGGATCCCTGAAGGAATGAGGGATGAGAGGGCAAGGTTTTTCCTGGACTACACTTGCTGGCTTTGATTCCTTCAGCTGCTTCTTAAGTTCAGCAGAGCTTTCTGTCTTCACAGCCTGGGAGGTGACCCTTGCTGAGGGACCTGAAGAACCCAAGAACTTGAAGCTGATAGGTTTCTCATATTGGGCCCTCCTGATCTGGGTAGGCTGCATGATGTGGTCTGCATTATAGAGATGGTCAAAGTTGTACTGGCTAAAAGGGATGCTGGAAAGCCCTCGCTGCCACACCACCTCCTCAGAGAAGGTAAGGTTTGTAGCAGCTTTTTTCAGATATTGGTTCTTGAGGTGCACACAGCGATGTGGGCTAAAGTGGTAGACTGGAGGTACACTGGAGACAGAGGCACATTCCTCCTTGTTCCTTGGTTTCGAAGGGGTAAAGATCATGCCCCATCCCAGCCGTGGGGGGAGTGACTGATGGAAATGGTGGGAAAGAAAGGTCTTTCCATGTTGGGTTCTGGTCATCCTTTCCCAGCAAAGGCTTCCTTCCATACTCCCTGGTCCAGATGCAGGGTTTGGAGGTGTGACCAGGTATCTGTTGAGGAGATGGGAGGAACTGGTGAGAGCTCTAGGTCAGCAGAAATTGGTAGGCCACAGCAATACAGAAAAGGAAGAAATGGGAAGACAGATAAGGGGAGCAGGGGTGGGTCCAAGTGGGGAGAAGCCATGTGAATTAGAAGAGGGACAAAAAAAAAAGAAGAAATGGTGAACATTCTAAATATTCTTTGTATCAGCCCCTTGCTTCCAGTTCTGCCATTTGTTCTCAAATCTCAGCCCTTCATTTTTCCTCAAATATTGCTTTATGTATGTTCAAAAGGCTTATTTATAGCATAAAGTTCAGATACCTCAGCCTGGCATTCAGGGTTCTCCATGAGTGTGACCCCAGTTTATGACCTTGTCCGACTGTAACCTCTTGAGTCTCTTAGCTCATCTCCACCCATCGCTCCCTCCACAGAGTGGAGCTTCCTTCTGTGCCCACTGTGTGTGTTAGCACACTCCATCCTTGACAAATTCTGTCCATTCTTCCAGGCCTAGGTCAGTTCCTACCTGCTCCACAACTTTCTTGACCTTATCCAGGCCTCCATGTCCCACACAAATTTATAAATCACTCCTACTCTGTACCAGTTTCTTATCTGTGTTTTTAGTTCCAGTATAGTTAACATACAGCATTAGTTTCAGGTGTACAATTCACTGATTCTGTACCAGCAATTTTAACTCTCAATCCTGTGACACCTCACATTGTTAAATATTCGGCTAACTGTACTGTCCAAGGATCATGTCTTCTGTCTCTGCTGCCCTTCCAAAGCCCCCAGTACTTTACCATCTTACTACATAGTCCTCACTGTTAAAGTGTCTAACAGCTACAGGGTATTTCACCAAGTAGCTAAATCACCTCCTCCTTAATTACTGGGGCAAGCTGTTTCCATGTTTTAGCTAGCTTACATTTACTGCTTTTTTAAAAATTTTCCTTCTGGGGTGCTTGAGTGGCTTGGTCAGTTAAGCATCTCTGACTTTTGGTTTCAGCTCAGGCCATGATCTCACGGTTTTGTGAATCTGAGCCCCACGTTGGGCTCTATGCTGGCAGTGTGGAGCCTGCTTGGGATTCTCTCTGTTCCTCTCTCTCTGCCTCTCCCCGACTTGCACGGTCTCTGTCTCTCTCAAGGTAAATAAACTTAAAAAAAAATTTTTTTTTTAATTTTTTTCCTTCTGGGGGCACCTGAGTGGCTCATTCAGTTAAGTGTTGGACTCGATTTTGGCTCAGGTCATGATCTGTTTTCACGAATTTGAACCCCACGTCAGGCTCTGCGCTGACAGCGTAGAGCCTGCTTGGGATGCTCCCTCTCTTTCTGCCCCTCCCATAAAAATAAATAAACAAACATTAAAAAAATTTTCCTTCTGAATTCCTTCATCTAATAATGATAATTGACAATAATGGAGTACAGATGTACCTCAGAGATATTGTGGGTTTTTTTCCAGACCACTGCAGTCAAGCAAATATCATAATAAAAGTGAGTCTAATGGATTTTTTGGTTTCCCAAGTGCATGTAAAAGTTAAATTTTAATTGACTGAGTATGCAATAGCATTATGTTTAATAAACAACGTTCAGGGGCGCCTGGGTGGCTCAACTGGCGAGGCGTCCAATTTGGGCTCAGGTCATGATCTTACAGTTCATGAGTTTGAGCCCCGCATCGGGCTCTGCGCTGACAGAGCCTGCTTGAGATTCTCTCTGTTTCTGCCCTTCCCCCACTTGCTCTCTTTCTCTTTCTCTCTCTCAAAATAAATAAATAAACTTAAAAAAAATGTTCATACCTTAATTAAAAAATGCTAACCATCATCTGTGCTTTCAGTGAGTCATGATCAGAGATCACCATAACAAATACAATAATAATGAAAAAGTCTGAAGTATTGCAAGAATTACCAAAATGTGACACAGAAACACAGAGTAAACAAATGCTGTTGAAAAAAATGGAAGTGATAGACACAGGGTTGCCACAAACCTTCAATTTGTAAAAAATGCAATCTCTGTGAATTGCATTAAGGTAAAGCACAATAAAATGAGGTGTGCCTGCAATTTGCTAAGGGCTTTACATGGGGAAGATATTACAGTCTTGAATGTGAATGGGAAGAAGTTGAGGCTCAGAGTGGTTAAGTAAATTGCTTCAGGTCACACAGGCCATAAGAAGAAGAGCCAGGTTTTAAACCTAGTTGCCAGATTCTAACTTGAGAGCACTTCACCTCCATGCCACATTGGCTTCCCAGGGCATGATTGATGATGATGATGATGGTGATGATGATTGATTGATTATTTTTACTTTCTTCTGTGTATGAAATCTGACCTATTGGTGTACTTCTTTTTGTTAAGAGCCTGCTGTTATCTAGATGTCACTCAAATTAAGTCATACGTGATTAATATGATATCCCGCCAGGATTTTTTGCACATAAGACTAAATTTAGTTGTTCCATCTCTTCACAACCATGAAGGCAACATGGCCATGAGGGCACTGAGTATTTTATAAGTTAATGTAAAAAAGTTATGGCAAGGTTAGAAGGTGGTCACAAGTGATACTTTTCCTGAAACAGTGCCTACTCTTACTGGTTGAAGATGAATTGTTAGATGAAAACAATATTAGTGTTCTTGTGCCTTGTGTATTGCCTAATAGAACATTTTATCATTCTTAACACGTCAGTGTGTCAATATCTTGCTCCTATGATAGGAGGCATTTGATCCTAAACACCTGAAAAACAGATAAGGACCAGTTTTGCCCCAAGATGACTATATGGAATGATTTTGGATGTCCCAAAATACATATATATACACTCTTTGGCCTGTGACACACAGAATCTTTGGTTACAGTGCCAGCATCCCAGAGAGAATACCATGTTAGCATTGCCATTTTTTGTAAATTCTCAAGGGATAGTTATTCTCATCTAATAAGGCAGATTGGTGAAAAGAGGAATAATACCTGATGTGTTTTGAAAAGAAATGAGGACAGGACAAAATGTTGAAGGGTTTTGTCAAAAGCAACTTGTCCTAGATGGACACTGGGTCAGAAGACAAGTGTAAGGCCAAGTTCTGCACTTCCCAGCCATGTTACCTTGGGGATGTGATTTAATATCTCTAGTTTGTCTCAGTTTGCCAATCTGAAAATAGAGTTTGATACCTAATTTGGTGTAGATATGAAGCTCAAAATTAAGGAGCAAGTATGAAAGGGTTTTTTTTTTGCAAGCTTCAAAGTATTACACAACTAAGAGGAACTGTTAACTGATTTACAGTATGGACTATTGCCACCAGAAGGCAAGTCTCTGGGGTTCCACAGTTAGATGGTGCATTGGGCACTTAGGCTACAGGTTAGGATTATTGGGGCCCTAGGCAATTAAAAGAGAAGGTGGATAGAGAGGGAAGAAAAAAACCTATGAATGGAGTTTGGAGGCTCCATATTATCCAAACTTAAATGTTACCTAGACCAACACTGGGGCACAAACATCCCCTTAAGAACCAAAAGCAGGGGGAGCCTGGCTGGCATAGCCAGTAGAGCATGCGACTCTTGATCTCAGGGCCATGAGTTCGAGCCCCACGTTGGGCATGGAGCCTACTTTAAAACAAAACAAAACAGGGTGGCAGGTCCAGGTGCCTTTGTATACTGAGAGCATAAGAAATTGAATACATGGCATCCTGTAGTCAAACCTGGGATAACTGCAGACCAGGCCCCACAATCTGGTAAACAGCAACATTATCTCTGTGCCTCTCAGAACCAGGCTAGACAGGCAGGAGTGGGGCTGGAAGGGCTAGGCCACGTGCCTCCAAGTAAAACCTAATAGAAGAATCCAGATTCAAAATGAGTGATATCTCAGAGGTTCCAAATTTTCCCCTACCCTCACCCCCTGGTGAGGGTACCTTTATTCTCCAGAAATAATTAAAGTGGGCTGAATGATTCATGTCAAAAGGAGTAATACCTTGCTCATGCTCTGTCTCTGTCTCAAAAATAAACGTTAAAAAATTTTTAAAAATGAGGAATCCTGTGTGCTACACCCCAGAATATTGATTGAGTAGGCTGCAAGTGAGGCCTAGAAATCTGTATTTTAACCAGCTCTCACAGGTGTTCATACACATTAAATTGAGAGAAGCCATAGCCCCAAGAGCTAATTTTTTTTAACGTTTTATTTATTTTTGAGACAGGGAGAGACAGAGCATGAACAGGGGAGGGTCAGAGAGAGGGAGACACAGAATCTGAAACAGGCTCCAGGCTCCGAGCTGTCAGCACAGAGCCCGACGCGGGGCTCGAACTCACGGACCGCGAGATCATGACCTGAACTGAAGTCGGCCGCTCAACTGACTGAGCCACCCAGGTGCCCCCCCCAAGAGCTATATTTGGGATATTTGAAAGAAGCTTGGTGGTGGGGAGAGCAGGATCAGGGAACACAGCCTCAACTTGGCTTGACTCACACCCCTCTCTCTGCTGCCTCTTTTTCATCAGAAAGTTCCTTCATTTTTTTCCCCTCTACTTTCTAATAACTATTCCTTGCCATGTACTCACACAGATATACTGCCGACTCCTGAGATTACTAAGGTAACTGCCAGAAAGATGACTCTGTTCCAACTCTTATATCTTGCAAATATCAAAACTGAGGCCCAGAGAGGAAAAACATGACTAAGATAACAGTAGTGGTTGATACCTGAAGTAATACCCTTTTGACGCCTAATCAAAATCTTTTCAACTACTTCAGGCTGTCTTATATCATTCAGCTGACGAAAACTCTTTTCAGGTACTGGTAAAATAGAAGTGTTTTGAAATTACCTTCAAAATGGCCTCCTACAACACAGTCATCAAAAAGCATCTTAAACCTTCTGTAGTTTCTTAGGTTCCAAAGCTGTTTATATTGGTTACCAGGCAACCACCTCTTTACAATTCCATGAGTCTACTCACAGAATTTGCAGGTTCAATCAGTGGTATCTTCGACTATTTATTTAATTTCCTTTTGTAAACAACTT